GGGCGGCGTTCAGCACCGCGAACAGCGGCCGGGTGAACGGGCTGAGCCGCCCGCCCGGCGCCATCGCCATGAAGGATCACGACGCCATCAAGCTCTTCGTGGGGCAGATCCCGCGTAACCTGGAGGAGAGCGACCTCAAGCCGCTCTTCGAGGAGTTCGGCCGCATCTACGAGCTCACCGTCCTCAAGGATCGCTTCACTGGCATGCACAAAGGTACGGGGGGCTGCGCGCCTGCCGGAGGGGCGCGACCAGGCGGGGTGTCCCGAGGTGGGACACCCTGAGGCGGGGCACCCGAGTAGGGGGCACCCCGGAGGTGAGGTGCCCCTGAGGTGGGGCACCCTGAGGTGAAGGCACCCCTGAGGTGGAGCACCCAAGTATGGGGCACCCCTGAGGTGAAGGCACCCCTGAGGTGGGACACCCCAAGGCAGGGGTACCCCTGAGGTGGGACACCCTGAGGTGGGACACCCCAAAGTAGGGGTACGCCCAAGATGGGACACCCTGAAGTGGGGCATCCAAGTATGGGGGCACCCCTGAGGTGAAGGTACCCCTGAGGTGAGACATCCCTGAGGTGGGACATCCCTGAAGTGGAGCACCTCAAGGCAGAGGTACACCCAAGTATGGGGTACCCCTCAGGTCTGCCACCCTGAGGTGGGACATCCCTGATCTGGAGGTACCCATGAGGTGGAGCACCCTGGTACGGGGCACCCCTCGGCACCCCTGAGATGGAGGTACCCCTGAGGTGGGGGCACCCCTGAGGTGGGACACCCTGCAGGTGTGTCAACTCTGAGGTGGGGCACCCAAGTATGAGGCACCCCTGAGCTGAGATACCCCTGAGGTGGGGAGGTACCCTTGATCGGGAGGTACCCATGAGGTGGGGTGCCCTGGTATGGGGCACCCCTGAGGTGGGGTTACCCCTAATGTGAGGGTACCCTTGAGCTGGGGGCACCCTTGAGGTGGAGCACTCTGAGGTAGAGATATGCCTGAGGTGGGACACCCTGGTATGGGGTACCCCCAAGGTGGAGGCACCCTGGTATGGGTCACCCTGGTATGGTCACTCCGGTATAGGGCACCCCTATAGGTGGGGACGCCCCTGAGGTGAAGGTACCCCTGAGGTGGAGACACCCCAGTATGGGGCATCCTGGTATGCAGCCCTGCTAAGATTGGGGTACACCTGAGGCAGAGCACGTGTCTAAGGTGGGCGCACCCCTGGATTGGGGACGCCCACCTGAGGTGGGGGCACCCACCTGGGCTGCTGCCCAGCTCAGGGACACCCCTGGGCTCAGAGCACCCCAGGGCTGGAAGCACCCCAATGGTGTTTAGGGCACCCGCCTGGGTTGGGGGCGCCTGTCTGGCACTGGGGCACCCACATGAGGTTTGGGCACCCCTGGAGTTGGAGCACCCCTGGGATGGAGGCACCCAACTGGGATACAGGTACCCACTGGCGATGGGGGCACCCGCCTGCCTGGCCACCTACCTGTGCCATGCTCAGGCCTCTGTCACCTGGCAGGACTGGGGTTGCTGCCGGCCTGGTTGGCATCCCAGCGCGGGGTGCAGAGCACATGGCACCCTGAGCAGCAATGCACCGAGAGGCTCACATGTGCACCGCAAAAGTCTTTACAGAACCCCTGACCCGTGAGCCGGGGATCTGCGGTGCTGCAGCAGGGTCAGGGCACCCCGGGCATCACCCGAACAGGATCCCGCACTCTCTCACCAAGCCCCTGTGCCACGGGCTTCGCTGGGACTTTCTGGGAAGCTGAATCTTGGCGCTTGTGGATGCCGCCACGTCAGTGCCCTTCGGCCATGGAGCGGCCATCCGGACTCCTTCATTCTCAGCACCACAGCCTTTGAAATGTCTCCAGGCGCCTCAGAAGCTGCTTGCATGCCCTGAACAACAACGGCTTTGCACCTTGCTGGGCCCCATCGGCGCTTCCTCCAGCACGGACTTCAACCACTGCAGCCCAGATGTGTGATTTAATTATTGACGCTCCTCTAATTTGAATGAGATGAGCCTCCAGAGGAGGGATCACTCCCTGCTCCAGCCCTCCGAACTTCTCTGGAACATCCAGGCTCTGACCACATCGTCACCAGCAGGGAAAAGAAAAAAGGGGGGAAAAAAGAGCGGAGAGGAGGAAGCCAACTTGATTACGGGTGGTAAACACTGGAAATGGCACCAGGACTGATGTGAGCCGCTGCACTGACCTCCCCTTTCCACCTGCAGCGGGGCTGATCTTTATCCGGGGGGGGATCTCCCCTTGCTCCCTGCGAGGGCAGATGTCCTCAACATCTTGTCCCCATCCCTCAGTGTCCCCCCATCCCGCTGCCGTGCTCCCTCTCTTCCCAGGCACGCTGATTGTACTTATTAAGAGTTATTAATACTTAATCAGCTGG